TACTAATATTATATCTTGTATTTGTACGCTCATATTTATTTCGTTCATGTTTCTTTTTATTTTGATATAATTAATTGATTGGTATATGAAAAAAGTTGATGTATGGTATATCGATTCTCGAATATAACAGCGCGCGATTAATTGACCGCGATTTTTCAAATGTTGATACTGCCGACATGATTTTTTTTCCGTGTCCCACATTAATTACGATTATCGAGGCGAGTGTGATGATTGAAATATGTAGCAGGTACAATTTTAGCTATGTAAATGAATACGAAGAATTATTAATAGTATTGAATTAGTCATGCAGTGTTTTAATTTGTAGGTCGGAATCAGATTAATTTTTTTTCTTATTTAAAATGGAAATTGGTGGGAAAAGGTCGATGTCAATGCATTGTTCGGGCTTGGAAATTGAATTTCCTATTTGTCGAATAATTCAGCGAAGTTAATACGGTAATTGTGACGTGGATTTGTATTGTCCTCATCGTACGGTGACAAACTCACTCAATTAGGTTTCGCGGTAACGATCAATGTACAGCGCTTAATTTAGAATAACCAACCGTCTATATACCATAAGTGCTACTTTGTGGTACTTTTATGTCATCGAATGGTGTCGGACTTTCAATTGCAAGCGTTTGAATATTTTTACGAGCCACTTTAATCCCTCCTAATGAAGCTATATCCCTGTACGTCTTTTTCCTTTTCGTTTTGATACACGATAAATTCTACGAAAGGTAGAAAACAAGTGCTATTGCACTGACGTTTCATTGCATCGGTGATTGTCTCTTAGAAACACGTGTACGGAAAAGAAACCTAATAATGGAACGAGGAAGTTGTCCGGGAATCGTTTTAGATGTTCGATCATTCTAATTGAATCGACTTTGGTAAATAACGTATACGATTAGCGACTGTGATTCCCCTGGTATCGTTCGGATATCGAACGAACCTGGAAAAACAAGTAAGAAGTTTGATTGATTTTCAATAATTAACGATGAGACATCGAATGATGTTCATTCTGAGAATTTATTCATGTACCTATTCGTACAAAAATTACATTGTCAGGATTACAAGAATTGTTTTTTTCTTTACTTTCGAAAAATAATTTGTTCTCCTTTAACATTAGTTCTATTTATTCATTGAGATAATTTCGTAAAGGGTGCTTGGTAGAATCGCTAATAATAAAAATCAGTTTCGATATACCCTACGTGTTTATTTTCAGACGGTAATTTAACATTTAGAACACGCGCGTGGGCGGTAAACGGGTATTTTATACACATGTTTAGAAACTGTGCGAGTGCAACTTTAATTTCACACAACCTACATCATCGATCCTGTGCATCGTCGATAAACCCAGTTTTTCACTTACTACCTTCAATCGTAGTTCATTAAATCTATATCCCAGATATGAAAATTAACGTAATTGTAAATGAGCATATTTCAATTTGAGATTTGTACTAAGAAAATTTATTACAAATTTCAAATTGAGAACCACGAGTTTTATTCTAGTTCTTTAATCGCTATTTTAATTAGATACTTAAATAGTGCATACGGTACAAAAATAAATTAGTGCAAGCCACTCTATGAAATATTCATATCCGGTGGGTTGTGTATGAAAAAATAGCAGCGACCCTGTTGTTGCTAAAAATATGCAGGTGATACGTTTCTTGCAGCTACGTGAAAGCACGTTGAAAACATTCTCTTTTTATTTCTGTATGTTGGAAAATCGCGGTCGGAATTGAGATGTCTAAATGCAAAATAATGGTTCTATTTATGGGTAGAATGAGAAACATTGTATTTAATACTTCATCCTAGAACCAGTTATAGATAACTCGTATTCTACAGCCAGTATGTTGACGAATCCACTTTGCAAGGTTTTCGAAAGACATTTCATGAATACAGACACAAATACACAGCTGTGACCAACATGTGTAAAATCTGGGTTAGGATTGTACACGTGTGTGACACCTAAACGTTCCAGTTACTAAAATAGCTTCAGAAACGGCGCAAAAATTTGTTTTCATCTTGGTGACAGTAATTCCTTATTCTCAAAAATTAAACTAACGTAATATTTGTAAAATTCATGTATTCACGTTATTTTTTAAGCTCTCCAATTGTTATGGTAGCAAGTTTCGTCCTTCGATACACACTTGATAAAATTCAGTCGATATTCTTATCGAAAAATAAATTGAACCTTATCTAATCGAACGAGTGCTGATAATAACGTACAAGTAATGTTTTATGGAAATACGTAAAGTTGCTCGAAAAAATTGTCTTCTTCAGGTTAAATTTTATAGCCATCTCGTATACAGCCTGTCAAATGACAAAACTGCTTAGAAGTCGATAAGACTTTCAGTGTCAACCTTCTCTGTCTGTCTCCTTGTAAGCCATAAACAAGTTAACCGAACTACTTACCTAAGCGCCTCTGCGAGCCAGTCTTGATAATCAACATGTTAGAAGGTTTCCACCCGATACCTTGACATTGAACCAATCTGTCTGCCCTTCATTTTCTATCACATTCCTCGATTTTTCTACCATAAGAACCTGAGTTTACATAATTTCCATCATTTTTAATTAGTGCGAATTGGAGATATATTGGAGCACTGTCGCGCTCTTTGTTTACTCTTATTCATATGGGAAATCAAATAGCGAAGCAAAGAAAGAAATTTCTTCTCCGCGCCTTTCGCGAGGCTATCCTGATATTTTCTCTTTACTTAAGGAAAAGTGTCTACGAATACTGAATTTATGCCAGTTTCCGGAAACATAAGTCGTTCCATACGATCTTACATACGAAATAAATTTGTGGAACAGAAATTCTAACTTCTAGATTTTCAAGGAAAGGCTGAGGAAAAGTGCATCGTACAATTTGTTATTCCGCGAAATTATATTTATGGAAGAAAGATAAAAAAAACTGTTTAATATTCTCCAATAGTGGGAGTTCGTGTTGTCAGTATTTGCTTCTCAAATTGTGTAGAAATTCGAAGTAAGGCAAAACCGGTTCGTGAATATGCTAATAAATTAGATTACCTCAAATACATTATTGCAATATTATCTCTACCTATTAAGCGTTTTTATATACTGCACTTCTGGTAGACTGGATAGTTCAACGTTCACCAATTATTGTTGCGAAATCGTGCAATTGTCTCGTGGCTAAAATCAGGTCATTCACATGGAAAACCGGATGTTTATGCACCAGAACAATGGCAGATATTTTCATAATTATCATCATACTGGTTTTAACTATCACTTTGCTTCGTACCTTAACATTATTCCTTGTAGACTGTAATAATGAAATTTAATTTTAATTGACAAAACCACATTTTTCAGAGAACAAACCACGACTCGAATGTCTAAACTTTGGATCAGCAAGATTCTCAAAACAAAATTTGAATACATTCAAAACGTCTATCGTCTGACGTAGATAATACTTTGATTTTTATTTTACATATAAATAAATGAATCTTGCTTCAAAGTTAGTCATTTTTCAACCAAACGAAAGCAGATAAATTACATTATGCATATCTGCGACGTTCTATTGTAATGTTAAGATATGCATCGATGTCGATTAATAATTTGCTGATGAAATACCCGGTAGCGTAACATCACTATCATGAGAATTGAACTTATTAAAATCTCTTTCCGCATACTCCAAGGATCTTTGAAAAGATCCTTTCAACATTGTTGGTAAATCCAAACACGCAAATTGATTCGAATCAAAGGAGCATCATCTCGGTAACTACTGGCCGGGATTTACCGTAATCAAAACACGAATTGTGTCGTAACATTGTAATGATTCACTTGTTAAAGAGTTACTACCTGTTCATGCTTGATAAAGTTGAGAGGAGCTTATTGTTAGATGAATTGTGTTTTGCAGGTAATCAAGGACGATTTTGTTCTTCATTATGCATGCGTGAAATCATGGAAAACTTGCAAGAATTATATGTGTTTAATTATTATTGTTCCCAGCGTAAACAAGTAATACATAAAACAGACGATGAATTGTCGTTTAGTCATTTTGCAACGTGTATTGTCAGCGTGTTAAAAGTAAAAGTGCAAGCTGTCGCATACAATGGTTGTTAAAGTTTTTAAGATAATTGGACGTAAATGCGCGAACACGCGTTCTTCGTCGGTGATGACCAATTAAGACGATAATCGAAAAGGAAGCAGTTAACGAACGTACATCCACGATGACCATGACCGATCAATGTACAAAAGAGCAGTTCTCATTAATCAGTAATAACCGATACGACATTTCCGTGTCATTTGTTTTCTTGATAAAATGAAAAAAAAAAAAAATGAGAATTAGAAATACGAACAAATGGAATTCTATCACTGACCTATCTCAACTTGTAGACGTATTTTCCTCATATTAGTTTTACATAAAAAAACAATGGGTTCGTGTTTGATGATTTCATGATATGTATCAGGATTCCCATGGTACGAACAAATTTAATATTCTCTTGGTGTTAATGATATTTATGACTCATTGCATTAAATCACCTGAAATTACGAGCTCTTTTTTTATCACTTCCTTACACATTACATAAAATAATTCGTGATACGTGTCACGATAGAAATCGCATCTAACATCGATTCGTTGTTATTCAATCGATAATGGAACCAACATCCATACCTTTTGCCACAGCTTTGCAACCTTTCTTATAATACCTTCATCTAAGGACCACGTAACGAAATCTCTCTTGGAAAGTAAACGTACGTTGTAATTTCTCATGTAACTCGGTGTTACATGTTTTTGCGGATTCAGAGTGTTTCAGCTTATTCTTTATTTCCTTCGTGATCGAGTTATGAAATCACGTTTGTTTCCGACGTATCTAGTTACACTTCTTAGTCTCTAGTGAACAGAAATGACATATGGCAGTTGTAAGATAACCCGAGGGTTAAATAGGTTTCAATTATAGTAACGAGTGATTTCTCAGAAAAGTTGGAAAATAGCAATAGAGATTTTACTTAGGATAACATATACCATTTCAAATTGTATGTTTCTATTATTATTGCTTTAATTAAAATTATACTATATTGCTGCCACTGACTGTACATTGATGTCACATGTATAGTCGGGAGAAGAAATATAGCAGAATCAGGTTAATCGTATTCATTCGTCATGCTATGTAAGATTCAAGTTAATCGGTTGTTTTAGAATCGCTCCAAGATTATCTGACGTTCTTCGTGCAAGAATCTATTATGTCAGAAATGAATGTAATTTTACGTAATTCACCGTGTGACGTTTTCCATGTTTAGGATTTGCATCCGCGGAAACATTGTACGTAACAATAATACGCACGTGATACCTGTTGCACCTCTACCAAACGAATTACACAATCGGAATACGTTGTAGCTAATCGTGTAATTACGAGTTTTTCTCGTACACGAGTATGACGTATCGATACGTGACGTTTTCCTCGCGATGATGCTTGATACCATTCGAGTTCATTAACCACCCATCGGAGGGTCTTCGATTTCTCGGGTTTCTCTTTAATTTTATTAACTTTCATAATCGAAAGGACAAGAATCGAGAAAATATTTTTAAAAATATCCTAGAAAATCTAAAAAAAGAAATATCGAGAGCAAGGTGATTCGATCGAGACAGTGACGTTTTCCTCGCGATGATGCTTGATACCATTCGAGTTCATTAACCACCCATCGGTGGGTCTTTAATTTTATTAACTTTCATAATCGAAAGAACAAGAATCGAGAAAATATTTTTAAAAATATCCTAGAAAATCTAAAATAGGAAATATCATCGAGAGGAAGGTGATTAAATCGAGACAGTGGATCTCACACGAGTTTCGCGTAAACTTGATACCAGCTCTCTTGGACGTAATATTACGCAATAAATGCTAGTTCCTAGGTAGTAAAACGTAATCGTTCGATTATCCAGAAAACTCGTTCGAGCGTGAGATAGTCTGTATCCGTTTCAATTGGCAGGGAAAATTGAATTTCTTCGTTCCAATGGATTGTAACAGTGTAAGGAACCGATAGAACCGAGAGAACCAGAGAGAGAGAGAGATCGGTCAGCTGTACAAGTTTGATCATTTCTCGTAATCGGAATGCAGAATCGCATAACTTTTACGTGGAACGGGCTCTCTTGTTAGGTAACAGACGGTAAGAGTTGATCAGGAAGAACAATTAGAAAGTGTACGATGGTGTTCTGGCGCATAAGCAGACTTATACGATCATTCGTGGCTAGGTTGCATAAATATCACCACGCAGGGCCACTTTCTCGCGATCTATACGTATACCTGGCTGCTTGACCACCTCTCCTTTCGATCCTGCACCTGATCAAGAAGAAGGTCCCTCTCTTCAAACTTCGTCTTTCTTTCTCCTACTCTTTCACCTGGGCTCGATAGAATTTTACGCACATCGCGAGTAACCTCGGGACAGTGGTCGGTCGTGCACAGAACACGCTTCTTCAGATCGTTTCCCGATTTTTACGAAAGCTGCGCAAGATTTTCTCGTTTTTATTAAAAAGGAATTTATTTAGTCAGGTTGAAACCGTCGAGTTTCGTCGATTTCTTGCCGATCTCTCGCGTTAATTTCTATTCAACCGGTTCGCATCGGTTTTCTCCAGTATCATCGGTTCAGATCAATTTTCCGCTGATCTCAGCGTTTTTCGTCGGACATCTCGCGTTTATAAGCTCGTAGCGCGCCTTTATCTATTAGCATTATCTCGTTAACGTGTACTATATTCATATGTGACGCGAAGTGGCAAATGCTTCCTCGCTCTTTGTACAACGAACGACAAAGTGTGCTGATGTCTCGTTTCCAACCTGTTAAATAATCACGCGAGTGCGTTCACCGTCGCGAATATGTTTGAAAAGAAACGTGTTATCAACGCTGACCTTGTTCGTAAATTGTACGTAACAGTTGATTTTCTTTTAGTTTAGCAGTAGAAGGTGTGAAAGGTATGATTTTGATTTTTAATTAACATAGACACGGTGAAATGATTACCGATGAAATTATGAAATGCGAACGGTGTTTGTGTTCATTTAATTTCTATTTATTTTTGAACGCTGATTATAGTCGCCCCAATATTGTTACCGGTATTCCATATTTTAAAGAAAAATTTGATAAAGCAAAAGGAGAAGAAAATGGAGTACGAGGCGAACGAAGAACACTTTACGCGGGTGAGTTTTCTATGCGACTCGTTTATTATCATAGATAATTAACTTCATAACGTTACAAGTTTCTTGCGTACGCTTTTTGCTTTGCGCGCTCTATTATACTTTTGTCGATAAGAAGTTCGCGACTGATGGAGCGTGAACGTAAAAATTATTTCCCGATAACTATGCGCGATTTATTTCGATCGTTCGCAATGATTGCCGATTTAATTTTCTACGTATCACCGAAAATTGATTTCATCAAATACACGGTGTAAAAGGAAGAAAGTGAATTGAAAAGTATATTTTTTAATGCTCTGTGCAGCTTTCAAATTTCTCCTCATTTTCACGCACCCACTCTTCGACATCATCCAACCACTTTTCCCAGCTGTTATGAGTTGGAACGAGTACCATCAGGCAATTGCACTTGCAATTTACTTTCGCCTTAAGCTGGATACGACGAGTGTTATTTTATGCTATCAAATCATATCAGACGTTCAGTGTTTCGAAATCGGCCATTTGATTTTTATATCCTTCCTTTGAAATATGTCAGCGGTAATTGAAGAACACCGCGTACATTTTGCTGACGTTGAATTCGTGCTTGAAATAGAATTTCTCATCTGTGTTTCAAGGCGCATTTGCATTCAAGTGATGCTCCTCCTCAGCGGTTCGTTGGCTGTAGAAAAATAAACTCTCTCGATTCCTTCGTTTCAGCCTTACCTCGACGTTTCTTTGAATTCATTTTTCACCGTTTCTGGGATAGACTCGTGCATGTTTATTTATAACGTGTCCCACGATCGGGAAGAAATACATTATTCGCAATAACATATTCCTCGACGATCGCTGTGATCATCGCTAATTATCATTCTAATAGATCGAACCATATTCCGAGGTCGTTCAACTCTGGTAACAGCGACGACAGTTAATTGTTTCTAAAGCGGTTATTAATCGCTTCTGCCAGCGGATGTCTGCAAAAACACTCTTTCATTTTACCGAGGTCGATAACAATATATTTTTTTCCATTTTACATCGTAGATTATTTTTTGCGACACTTTCTTCTGAATTCTTATTTTGCCAGCTTACTATGATGGATAGTAATTATTTTGCAACGCCGACGTAATTTCCCTCGGTCAAGAACCGACCATAGCAAAGTGTAATGAACCAAGTAACAATTACACTCGAACGTTTTTTCTTGAAATTGAAATTGTCTCGTGATTGTTACAGTTCATTCTCCGTGGATAAATGTACGTGTCGCTTTGTACTCTATATTCATAGTTGGTACGAAATACGGTTTTTTGTTTAAGCTGCAACCATGAACTGTCGGTTATAGTTTAGGCGCGAAGCGTCCTTCTGAATTTAAACGAGCACCGGAATACACCTGGCATATAAAGCTATGTTTAATAAAACATTAATCCTTTGTTTTCTTTAAGTGTCCTAAAATACTTTCGAAGCAATTTATAATTCCAAATTACAATGCTGTTATTAATAATGATTAGTCGTAAATTATGAGTTAGAAATTGTTAGTTTTGGGTCAACGATCGTAAATATGAAAGTGTCTTCTCTCGAAACATAAACATTCTGTTCCAGGTCGAATTAGTGAATTTTTATGCCCAATAAAATTCTGAATATTTTTAGCAGGTTTCATTCGTCGAAACAAGGACGTCATTTTATTTTTCAAAAAACTCTAATGACGGAGCACTTTGTACAATCTTATAAGAAACAAATTTATGAAATTCATATCTGTATCCTGACCAGTTACTTCCACAATATTTCTTCTTCTAGTAAGCGAAAAGAAAAGCTGTAAAGTTGTAAATTGTAAAGTCATAAAGCGGGAAGTCGTAAAATTCAATGGTCATGGTAGTGTTGAGAGCGATAACATGATTAATGACAAAGTCAAGCAAAATGTAGCCTATTTTCAACGCAGAAAATATGTTGTTCGGTATTTAACTCGTTACAGGTGTCTAACTGAAGATAGTACGTTCTAAAGTGGAATACCAATGAACGGATGGAACGTGTATAGAAATATCGAGGGGAACGAGAAAAAAAAAAAGTAGGACTCCCGTTGAGACTGAACAAGTACCAAGATCAGTAACTCGGCAGACTGTCAGTTCTTTTTCAAGGCAACACTTTGTTTAACGAACGACAAGTTCCTTTGCTGGACAAACGAAATAATGGCTTATGTTAATTAATATTTTAGGCGAGTTTCTTACGTAACTGGACATTTTTTCCCCCAAACTGGTTTCGAAATGTTAGTTTTTCAAAGGAAATACTGCTTTCTAATCGCTATTTATCATTTAATATTCTAAACTGCTGGAGGTTTCACTTCAAAATATGTTTGGAAATAAAAAGATGTTTGAGAACTATAGCTTAGCCCAGTTACCTGAGACACCTACCATACTCAATAAATTATGTACCGTTCCACTAATTATAAGACAATGTATTGAACACACTATCTCCTATTTTATTACCTTATATTTCATTCGCAAATATGCACTTTGTACGAACGACGTACATGTACATTACCGTCAAAAAGTTTGGAAACGAAGAGATTTAAATAAATAATTCAACTGCATTGCATAATATAAAATACATACTTCACTTTATATAGTAATATAAAAGAGAACAGTATTAGAATTAACCTATTAACTGCCAAATTTTTATTTTTGATATTTTTATCTAACATTTTATTTAATATAATCCTATTGCAAATGATAAAAATACATATATATATATATTCAAATCCCCATTTGGGGATCATGGTAGCAAATGGGTTAAACAAAAGAATACAATGTACAATCACTTATCTCGACTTTTTAATTATTTTTTAAATCAATTCAAATGTTTCCAAACTTCTTAGCGGTAGTATACATTTGAAACAATGAACACAATAATGTATGTCTCAGTCGGTGATCGATGATGATTCTGTTTAGTGAAAGGGTTAAACTCCGCCGACTTCGATACGATCTTTGAAAGCAATTATATTGTTCACCGTTAAAGAAGGTTCATCGTGTTAGATCTTTAGCGAGAGAAGCCGTTCCGGTGTCGTTCGTTCCCATTACCTACATTTCTTGCCGGATCAGGCCCAAAAAGCCGGGCCCACGAAAAAGAAAATCGGTCAGTCGAGTAACGGAATACGTTGTCCGTTTCACGTATGTACGCGTTCAAACACGTGTGTATCCGAAGGTTACAAAGAAAGAACTGTATTTAGAGAAACGATGGAAGAAAGGGAAGAAAACTGACAGAAATGAGGGAGAGGGGGAGCAGGTGATAAATGTTTAAAAGGGAAAAATGTAAAGGAAAATCTAGGCTCTCGGGTCTCATCTTCTTTCTCCCCGCCCCTCCTTTTCAACGCACAACGACGTTTTGTCCATTCACCATACCTGGCCGTGGGCCCAGTGTCACCGATTATTCGTTTAACGGGACCTATACCTGCACGGTGGTGGAGAAGCATGATTTCACCAGAAGCCAATCACCGGTTAGGGGTTTCGGACCTCGGTCAGTCGAAGAATACACCGTTGCGAGCGAGCACAAGTTCCGTTTTCCCCCCCCAAAAAAAATCGGTACCGCATCGTCGAAACGTTAACCATCCAAGTTTGAAAAGAAATTTGCAAAATCATAAAGAAAGAGTCGCGCGTTTCCCAAGGATGCAATATTGACTTTGCATGAACCAAAGGATTCGTTTCGCGATTTACGATCCTTCAGCGAATTTACACGGGAACGTGAGGCAAATATATCCCGTCAACGACCACGTGCTGTCAAACCAGACGGGCTACACCTCCGCGATCCCTTGTGTACACTGTATCGAAGTTTATCTTTGCGAACAATCCTCGTCTGACCGTTCTTCGACAGTGTTTGCTCTCGTCTGTTACGTCAAGTTACAGGGCGTATTGTAATTCGTGAGAATGAAATGTTGGTGGTTCGGTTAGCTTCAACGAAAACAAATAGAAATCGTGAATTGTGTTTTATGCGACAATTGCGTCGTCTTAACTGGTACTCCTCCTGGCGAATGGTGTTTATAAGCCGGTGATACATACCCGGAAAATTCTTTAATTTCGTATTTAACACGTTTCCTTCGTATACATCACCGCTCCCGCGTCCGCGATCCAGTTCTTGATAACCCATCTTTGATTTCGCGATGAATTCGTACGTGTCCGTCGCAGGGATTTTGAAACCGTGCTCTTCTAACAGCGAGATTGTTAAAAGTACTCTGATAACTCAGTCTTGAAACGATTTCGTTAGGTTCCACTCGAATATCTCGGTGAAAAGGTTTAGGAGACGGTGTACGCGATAGGAAATTAATTTGAATGAAAGAATTGAACAAAAAGGTGATACGGGAACGAGTGAACACCGAGGTGGGGGATAGAGTAGAACGAGGCGAACAAAAGCGTGCAAGTACGTAAGAGAAGAAACAGCAGTTTTGGAAAGAGGCTCGAGTGAGACTACATAAAAGAGAAGAGCCGTGATATTTTATATACTTATCCTTCGTCGAAGCAAGGAACTGCGCGGTGACGAGTGTTTCTCGTCTATGAGTACAGTCTGCCCGATATTCCTGATAACTTTGAACCAGTGACGTAACTATCGTTTGAAAAATACCACGTGATTGTTCAATCACGAGTTCAATTCAACGATTCATCACGGGTTCCGTACTGTCAAATGTAAGTTACATTAGAAAGAGGATCGTGAAATGTGTAGGAAAAAGAATTGAGATAGATCACTGATCATTTTTGGAGAGGGATTATTATTTCATAAACATCGATGCGACACGAGTTTAGATGATCACCCACGCGATACCAAGTGATCGGATATTCAGTTTAATGTAGTTTTATAAAGTAATGGTGTATCTGTTCCAGGTGTTTCTGGATCATCGAGGAAAAGATGAGGTAGGACAATTAGTGGGCGCCAAAACTCATGGCGCAACACCTTTGGTCATGGCCTGTCGAAACGGACACTACGACGTGGCTGAGTACCTCATCAAAGAATGCGGAGCGGATATCGAACAGCCTGGGTCAGGTGAGACTCGAATTCGATTCGCGGAATGCTTTCGAACGCGTCAGCGTCTTTTCAATTAGGACGAGGAAGATGAGCTGTGAAATGATTAATTTTGTTAAACAGTCGTATTTGGCGGGGAAACGATAGAAGGTGCACCGCCTCTATGGTGCGCAGCTGCAGCTGGTCATTTGGCTCTGGTCAGATTACTGGTGAAAAGAGGTGCCAAGGTGAACTCGACCACCAAAACAAATTCCACGCCATTGCGCGCGGCCTGCTTCGATGGTTATTTTGAAATCGTCCGATTTTTGGTAAATCACGGTGCAGGTAAGAACGATGGTTCATTTTTCATTCTTAACTCGTCATCTTTTAATCACCGTAGGAGATAGAATCAGCTATTTAATTGCTGCGTCGCGACAGCTGCAGAATTTCAAACAACATCTGAGGATTTATGGTTTATCTCTTTAAGAATATTGTTTACTTTCTATTTTTATTTAATTTAATTAAATTAATTCTGAATATTCCAAATATTACTCTCTTTAAGCGTTGAAAACACGTGTTGTTTACAATTCGATTAGATTAATGTCCACGTTATATTTCTGCAGCTACCGTTTATTTACGATAATACCTTGTATTGAAAGAAAATGAATCGATCGATTCACGAACGAGTTACATTTATCATTTCGTAAAGAGGATCGAATGAACCATAAACACAAGATCGCGTCGTTTGATTGCAGACATCGAAATGGCTAACCATCAGGGTCACACCAGTCTGATGATCGCTTGTTACAAAGGTCACATTAAAATCGCCAAGTTCCTACTCGCCTTGAAAGCGGACGTGAACCGGAAATCCGTCAGGGGTTACACGGCGCTTCACGATTGCGCCGAAAGCGGATCACTGGACATCGTGAAGCTACTGATCGAGCACGGTGCCCGGATGGACGTGGACTCGTACGGGATGACACCGCTCCTTGTGGCAGCAGTAACAGGTTAAAGCAGAATGTTCCACGCACAACCCTGAAGGTTCCCTTAAGACGATTACAATTAATGCTTATCCGAGTGTTTCGTTATACGAACGAGGAAACACTCCGGTAAAAGATAAATTATCACGGGACAATTTTTCATCTTACAGGACATAAACACATCGTCGAGTACTTCATCGGTATACCGAATTTAGTCAGTCGGAAAGAACGGATAGACGCGTTGGAATTGTTGGGGGCGACTTATGTGGATAAAGAAAGGGACATGATAGGGGCGCTCGAATTTTGGAAACGAGCGATGGACGAAAGGTTCGTTAAAACTTTTGCAATTGGGATTACACCGTTTCGTTGATAGATTCGAACGGATCGTAGAGGAGAATTCTTGTTATTCACTAATGATTAAATATCAGGGCAACTATCGTGTTTTAGATATCGAAGAGATAGCCCGGTGATAGCGAAACCATTGCCACCCCCTGTGGTAGCTGCCTACGATTTCACAAGAGAAATTTCCAACCCAGATGAATTGGACGATCTGTTAACCGATCCGGATGAAATGCGAATGCAGGCATTGGTGATCAGGGAACGAATATTAGGGCCAGCTCATCCTGATACCAGTTACTATATACGTTATAGAGGAGCACTGTACGCGGACGGTGGGAAATTCGATCGTTGCATCAAACTTTGGAATTACGCTTTGGATATGCAGCAGAGTATGTTGGAGCCGCTCGATCCAATGACTCAGAGTTCACTGTTCAGTTTTACCGAGTTGTTTAGCTTTATGATAGGTACTCAGACTAGTACCGGGCGCAGAGTACCACCGGTACAAAAGAAGGAACTTCTTAGAGTATTCAAGAAAGCTGTAAGTGTTCGATCTTGTCGTGAAAAGGATTTTTAATTACCGTTTTCACAGGGATACAGATGAACGACGTGTTGTTTCAGGTCTTAGAGGTGGCATTAGGCAAACAAATGTTGGATAAAATCCCGGTCTGCAAACGTGATCTAACTTATTTGAACAGAGTTCTTGTGATTACTTTACATCTCGCGTGTTTACTAACACGTGAGATTCCAGAGAAAGGGACGGACGAATACATCACGTTGCACAAAGCGATTTATGAACTAGTTGGAATAAATGCGAAAGGCAAACAAGTGAGTTGATTGGAAAACAAGGATGGTTTAAATAATTGTACGTGTTTCATGGTAATTTAAATGTTCTATGTTGTGTGTTTTCAGGGCCGTGATGTATTGCAATTAATTTATAGCGAAAAGGGTGCCGTAGTTGGGAGCTATTCGACCTCCAAGTTCCCCTCGTCGAATTTAGCGAACGCTCTTATTAAAGTTGGCGCTGACGTTACGGCAAGAGACAACGACGGTAATACAGCGTTACATCTTGCTGCTGTTTCGCACTTTAGGCGGCCAGATCTTGCCGTTACTCTTCTCGAGGCTGGTGCCCACATCGACACCGTTAATAACGAGGGTAAAACCTTTGAGATGTTGTTACGCGATAAACGTCTATACGACTCGGTATGCCCTGTAAAATACACCACGCTCACCTGTTTAGCGGCTAGAGTAGTCAAAAGAACGTACGAACTGGAAGACGTACCGAAACATCTTCGCGCTTTCGTTCAGATGCACTAGTGGGTGTAATCGATGGGCTGAAGAAAAAGCTGTATCGTGTAAAAATACCACAGGACGTATTTATTTATTAATCGAACGAAAAAGAGTCGACAATGAAGTTTTACTTTTTTTCGTACACGTAAACTAACTACCAGAATGTGTTTCCGAATGGGAGAATATAAGATCTACTTTTTGAGAATTGCCATTACAACAAGCGATAAGTAGAGTACACTCTAAGGGACATCTCAGATTTCAGTTGTATTATCTTGAAATCGTGAAGATTGATTCGTCGTACGAGACTATTTTAATGACTCAGGTATATTGCCCAAGGCTGGACAGAAATGACACATAATTCAGGATATGTACATTAAATTTCCAAGTTAATATGGCAATGTTTTTTCTTTATTGTGATTTTCTACAAAGAAGAAGATATTTGATACTAACGTCGAACGACGTGTAAGGCATACGATAAAGGAGGAGAGTACTTATTACGTGCATTGTTTACAATGGCTTACAAATACTGTCAATGTGATTTTATTGTTGTATAATTGGCTGACAGCCTACCCCTTATACATAAACCCCATATAAGCCATAATATACACATACTTCATCGATACTATTTAGTCATAACGGGGATGTATGCTAAATTGACAGATACGTGTAATCGTAGAAGACACGATTTTACCTTCGTTGCTGTATAAAAATAGAAATAAAAAAGAAGAAAAAAAGAGGGATAAGAAAGTGTAATAGAGTTTTGTTGATATAGCATGAAACGATTTCAATAAAAAATAAAGCATATGCTTTTGTGATAAAAATCGTAAAAAATGGAAATCATAACTATTAATTTTTTTTTTTTGCAAATGTTACAGACCTTTTCAGTTTAAGGATGTGTGTTTTGTTTCTACTAGACATGGTTGGAATATCACTTAAGTTATGTTGCTTTAAAGAATTTGCTAATCGATTAGATTCGGGGTTGTATACCCCTATTACGATATAGATAGTACATGGAAGTTTCTTGAAAATGGTTCGTTTACATCGATTTTCAAGCTTACCTTTATTTAAAATGTGATAAACATACATATAGTTTGTAAGTATTATACAGAATTATATATATATATATATACTTAAGAAGAATCACATAGGTGATGTGTTCAAGTAAGGTGCTTTTTTTGAGGATGAACAAATAATTACACTTGACACTATGTAGCACAGCTGCCATGGTAACAGCAATTCGTATAGAATGTAATTTTCATCAGAATTCGATCCAGCTATAAAGTTTTGTACTTTTTAACACGTTTCATTCCAATAATTATATTCACACACTGTTACTGGTTTACACAGGACACTTATAATTCTCAGCAAAAAAAGTATCTTACGTTAATGATCACCAAATTTAACTGTTTTATAATGTAAAGACTGTGGAAATACAGGCGTGATTAATAATATAATCAACTGGTTATTTCACCTGGATGAAACTTACCACTCCATTACCTTGTGATCTGGTTAGATAGCATTCCTGGAAGAACAACATACTCATAAAAATCTTTGTTAACAATTTTGAAGCTTACCTTTGTTTTCCTGTAAAACATTAGCCGCAATTTAAAAATGATTAACATATTAAAATATATTTAATTTGATCCTGCATGATTGAACATTTTATTTTTGGACAGTTTCTAACAGACTTTTTCAACAATGAATCAATTGGCAAAATCCAGAAGGAAATGCAGTTATCATCCCCTATTTAACACAACTGAGATCAGTCACTTACAATGGAAATCAATGCAACAGACCATCGACACATGATCTCATGCGTTATAAAATAAGAACCCTACTAGTGACCAATGACATTGTAAGAAAAAAAAAAGATACATCGTTCTTCAAATGTTAAGAAACAAATGTGGCAACCACACAATGGAAATCGACGATGGTTATTTAAAAAAATTCCATGTGCATAGCGAAAAGACGCATTAAAATGTTTCAATGGCGATTGAAGACCAGAGCATACAAAAAATATGTACGACCACTTACCATAAAAGTCATTGTTACCGTCAAACCATTTGCTTCTTACGTTATGCAAAATTCATTTTGGACAGACAGAGAATTATGCGGGAAACTTTTAGACCAGATACAATTACCAATAAATATAGAAGATACTTTGGATACTACGATACATAAGAATCAACCACGGTGTTAGGAGACGAATTGCTACATTGCCAGTGAATTTTAATTTTTCCCAAAACCTCTTAATCCACTACTTGGATCAGTGATAAAACTTCGTTAATTAATCTTCAGAAGAAGACTATCATACATAATTTGATGATCTGAATATCGTTTTGACTATCGCTGAAGGAACAAATGTTCGGTAAACAGATTTCAAACAAAACTATTCCCTCTTGAAACGTGTTCATCATCAGAGTAATAGAAAACCACAATCACCTGAAAAAACATATCTCACCTGTGATGTAAGCAAATATTCATCTCACAGATTGGAAATCTTCAATCTCAAAAAATAAGCAGGGATTTCTACAATTAGAAATACAACTGTAAATGTTCTTAAACAGAAATGTCTGTTTAAAAAAAAAAAAGTGCAACGCATTTGAAACTCATTCTACATAAATGTATCGCACACGGTCAATTGCAGAAACGATATCCTGTATACCAATGCGTATCTATCTTAACCTGTTTTAAAGTATAAAGAATTCACAACAACACAGAAATAAAACACAACGACCAGCATATTTTTGTAGTCAAAACGGATTTGGATTTTATTCAATCACTGTCATGATGTCGTGGTTATACAAGAGTGTTATACAATGCGCAGAATGTTCCTCGAGATCTACATGGCGAGAGGAAATATGTTTACCAAAGAATAAACTCGTAACATTTTATATTAACTAGATATCTTCTTGATCGTTTATCTTCTTTAAATTGTCCGTATTTGTCTTAAGTTAAATATTTAGTATTTTTTGGTAAACATATTATGATGCACAATATGTAAGACAATTCTGCCGAATTTAGGGTATAAAGTCAATCCAATGTTCATTCGCTGAAGTCTCGAAAAAACGAGGTGAACTGGAAGGGAGCTTCCTAATGACAACTAAAATTTTTTCTCTACTTGAATCTCCAAGTTACTAGAACGATGTGGCGCGACGAGTAAACGATCAGATCGCAGAACTACAATGAAAACAATACACTCCCCTGTTGAGCCATGATGTATCATTCTATGTATTGAGATACAAGAACAGAGTGCGACCGATACCACAGAAAAACCGAACACACACGTCCACGATCTGTGTAGGATTGTGCATGAAAGTATCTATCATACATGGATAAACTTTTAACTCGTACAATCCGTAACAGCTATATCGCGTTAATATTTATACTTGAAAGATTAATCTGTCCCTGATTGATAAACCAGTCCCGGGAACGACCAGAGCGTCACGTTCGACCGGAATGTGGGAAAACTGATTGATCTCTCATCATGAAAACTAAGAAATAAACTTACAAACTACGTTTGATAATTACTGTAAATATCATAAACCTACATACTGAAAAAAACCTATGGATTACGTTGAACATTATGAACCTATTCCTAACAACTAAACTATTTATCGATCACTCGAAAAAGATTGGTTTTGGAGTGAACAATTATTAGACATCCACTGTAAAAAAGAACGATAATCTGGTAAACGAATTTCGAATGAAACAGTTGTAGCAAGGAAGGGTGATCATCAGCAGCCAATGAGTGTTTCAACGTTGAAGTAGGCATAAAACACGATTGTTGATCTTCCAACGACAGATACTTCTCACCCACCGTCCTAAGTTCTGCCACACAACTAGGATGAATTTCAAGTATTGTCATCAGGAGTGGAACAATCCTGCAGACGACATACGAACACCCAGTCTCCTCTCGCTGCATCAATAAGTTATGGTTAAGCATCAAACTCTGCAGAAGTTCTCTATTAACTGTTACCTTAAGTGTATTCCCGTCTTTTAGTAAAGGCGAACATCAATCGTTCTGCCGTCAATGCGTGACCGATTCATCATAGCTGTACATATCGTTAAGGGACATTTTTTTTTAGTATTACGCTTCATTTAGATCGCACATTAATATAATCAGATGCAAAGATCTATATTATATAATATGCAATGTATTTTTTTGTTAAAGGATACACACAGCACGTTCAGCGTCCCATTCAGATGCAAATCGTACCATTCCCATGTCAGTGCCCCGCATTTCAGCAAACTTGACCTCTCCGACATCTTGGAATTTGTCTCGCAACATTTGCCATGTGGTATTTGGTGGTAACTGCGATAATCACATACAGATATATATATATATAGATTAATATCCAGATTAATTTTTATGTCGGACTGTAGAACACTACATACATTTCCTATAAGAATAGTATCCGACATCGGTCGTGAACCATTCGTGTTTTGCCTGTTACCGCCTCCTCCTTGGCTTTGATTGCCAGAGAAACCACCACCGGCACCAGGAACACGATCATTGTCCCCTCTGTTGAATCCACCATCAAAATCTCTTCCACCACCGAAGTTAGAACCACCGAAAGCATTGTTTCCACCGAAGCCTACATCATTGTCCATTTTAGATAAGCCTCGAGACGCAAACGAATTGTTGCTTTGTCCACCAGTTAAAGAGGCTTGTAAATTAGACAAACCTCCGACACCTCCGACTCCTCCGCCAAAATTATTTAAGTTAGAAGCCAATTCATTTGTTAAAGATGAATTCAGCAATGAACTGCTGGCCAAATTAGCACCTAAACCTCCAGCAAAACTTGCTTGAAGAGCTGCATTCGTGTTTGTCAATGCAGAGGCTGTAAACAAATGAATACTTTCTCATTAATTTCTTTTGTTTCTCCCCTCAATTTTATTTGTTGCGTATATAATAGAACTTACCTAATTGTGCTGGCACAACATTATTTAAGCCAGCACCAAAGGCTCCAGCAGCCAACACGGGTGCAGAAATAGGATTTACAACAGGTGGATTATTTGCTTGTACATTAGGAATGTTTCTAGCTACATCCATTAATCTATTACCACCAGCTCCAAGTCCCATTCCAATTCCCTTTAAACCTATTATTCGAATGAAGATTTGTTTATTTCTCTGTTATTTAAATAATCATGGTAAAAGAGATAACAAAATATATACCTTCTGGCAACTTTGGTGGCATGTCTGGTTCATTTGCTCTATCAAGTCTAACAGTCATACGTCTGTCATACAGTTGTTGATTGTGAAGCATCGATATAGCCTGAACCGATTCTACCGGATGATCGTATTCTACGACTCCGAATCCTCGTGATTTTCCATCTTTATCCTTTCCTAACTCAACATGCAATACTTTACCAGCTAGTTTAAAAACTTCCAATAGTTTCTTTTCATCCACTTTGTAGTCAAGCTAAATATAGAAACAAACAATATTTAGTTTCCTGTTATATTACCCGTTTGAGTGCCGTGCAGCGTGATCGTATTGTTCGAAATTTTTCGAACGTATTCTTTCATTCATTCATGGCACTTAAACGGTTATTATTTAATTAAAATTTCCAATGTTTCAGAGTAAAATATACTTACATTCGCTACAAACACTCTAGTAACTAAGGGTCCATTAATACCTAAAGATTCTAAAAACTGAGTACTTAGACCATAAGTATTTCCAAATTTATTATCACCACCACCGCCGCCGCCGCCACCACCTCCACCACCACCTCCACCAGCAGGAGGATTCATATTTTGGCGACCACCCCCTTGTGGTCTTGGTGGATCTCTAAATCTATCATCACGAACTCTGTCATTGTTACGAGCTGTGGCTAGACGACCATATTTATCACGTTCAACATCAAAGTCCTGAAAAGAAAAATGTTGTAAAATGCATTCTGAAGAATGGAGGTATCAACATTCGAGGTAATAAAGTGTTTGTAATCACAACAATATACTAACTACCTCTTTGACGACAAGTTTTCTTCCTTTAATATCATATCTGTGCATTTTTTCTACAGCAATTTTTACAGAGTCTGAATCCTCAAATTCGACAATTCCACAGCCTCTCGGTTTGTCATTTTCATCAGTAAAAAGTTCCACATGCGCAACCTTTCCAACTTCCGTTCTGAATAAATCCTTAAGATCTTGCCATCGAAAATCATAGGGAATGTTTGATACATAAATTCGGCGATCTGAAGGTTTTCTACCACCACGATCGTTTCGTTCTCTACTCCGATCTCGACTAGTAGAATTTATTCGATTTTGTCTTTCCGATCTCCGATTACGATCACGCTCCCTACTTCGGTCCCTTTCATCACTATTCTGCGCTGGATTCCTAATATTGAGAAAGATTGCGTGGAAAATTGTTAGTATCACTTCTTATTACGCTAGTAGATTATACTGTTTTCCTTAGCGCATAAATTCACCTAAACTTGACTCAACATTATGGAATTAAGAAATACAGTTCCTAAAACTTTATGATTTTGATGTATTCAAAATGTATTAGCGTCAGTTTAAGTTAAATATACATGATTCTGCATGCCGCCAAGGAACTTTCGATGACTTGATGTAACTATTAACATTATACTTACTCCTCTTGTTTGATCATTGTTGAGGCTTCTTTTACTCAACAAGCTAAATTATTCAAAGAACTGATAATGCAGTTCGCACTTAAAAAGGGTAAAAGACACCGTACATGCAAACATACGCGATCGCGAAGCGTCTTATAAAATGGCTGTCCAAGGAAGTGGCAAAACGTACCGGAAACTACTGTATTCAAAATTAGATTTCTGATTGAAATAATGCAAACTTATGTGTGAAGATCGCTTGCGTATAAAGTTTTAATAATTGTTACTTTACTCCTACGTTTGCAGAGATCACGAATTATACGTTTTACGACTAGAGAATATTGTGTACATTCTGAAGTTGCCACGATATTGAACATAACCTGACTTTAAATTTTCAAATGCAATCTATAGTAAGTTATGAAAAATTAGTTCGATCTATCGCAACTTTCAGTATAAGATTCAATTTGAAATCAAATATTAATATCCTTTAAGTATTATAAAAGTACTTATTTTTAGTATTTTATATGATTTAGCATCTGAAAGATGTTATCAGAAAATTAAGAATTCATATCAATTGTTAAGATTCCAATTTTTTCTTCTTGTTTTTTTAAAATTATTTCGTATGAAAATATCAGCAAATGTGGAGCCACCCGTCGTGTCGTGTATCATGTCCATTATGTTCCGTTTCCGAATAGCAGAAGACATCGTCTCACACGAGCCAATCACGAGTGTAGCTTGTTCATCTCTCGTTTTTGGTAGTGCTTCTGACGTGCGCAGCTGAAGGTGGTGGAAATTCGTATTTTTATTGTAAAATTTATAAAGAGAATGGCAGCTCACTGGATGCGAAATGCTGTAAGTAACTTGTGTCAATCAGGAAATCCTGAAAACAACCTGAGCCCTGCATGTAACCCTAATTTTTCCCAAATGGAAAGGTTAGAATTTCGTACTGATTAGTTATATTTCCGTCTGCTTGACTGTAATATCTTATTGGTTTGTCTCTTATCCTCGTGTCATTTATAGATTTTATCTTCTTTATATAACATAAATTTCCTAATTATCTTTTACCATCTTTTCTTATACAATACCATGTTGCTTATTGCATGTTATCACTTAATAATTACTAATTATATCTATATTTTATTAACAGGTTCCGAAAATCGGCTCAGTCCGCTTTTACAGTAGTAAAGTTCACAAATGTACCCTTATTCCTGGAGATGGTATTGGACCTGAGATTTCAGCTGCTGTTCAGAAGATTTTTGATGCTGCCAAGGTAAAATTTTTCTTTTCATAAATTTGTAACATAACGATTTTCTTCATGCCCGACGTTTTTATGTAACATGCATGTCAGTTGAATGGAAAGTATTAATAGGTATTCATGTTGACACTTCTGCTACGTTTTTGCACAGTACTTGTCATATTATAAGTGTTTGTTTAGTTTATGGTTACATGTGGTTACAATCTTACAAGGTGACCCTATGTGTCCTACTACTAACCTTAAGGAGTTTATTTTAATCTTACTCTTATACAGGTTGATCCAATTGTAGGCTAATTCAGTCTGCTCTTATTGTAGCTAAGGTATGTTTTCTAATTTGTATATTTTTTTGTAAACATATAATGTATTATATGTGTTTTTAGTTAAATGTATGTAGTGATTAATTTGATTTCATTTATATAACATGATATTACATTGATTATTTTTGAACCTTTCAAAAGACATTGTACAGCTTTTTAGCATGAATGAAAAAACTTCAATGATGATAATTATATATGGTGTATTGCATAACATTGTTACTCAACTTTTAATATTTACAACTATGTGTATATATACTTTGTATTTTCATATAATGGTATCAATAAAAGCAAATGTATTTGTTTTTAAATAAAATTTAATTAAAACAGTTGTTGCACATTAATAATTGTAATATTATTTATTATATTGAATATCAGGTGCCAATAGAATGGGAGTCTGTAGATGTCACACCAGTAAAAGGGCCAGATGGGAAATTTGGAATACCACAAGCTGCTATCGATTCAGTTAACAAAAATAAAATTGGTTTAAAAGGACCTTTAATGACCCCTATAGGAAAGGGACATAGATCATTAAATCTTGCCTTAAGGAAGTAAGTATGCTGTTGTCTTCATCTATTTATTTCACATATCAGTATATTGTCTTAAATTTAATGTAACTATCTTAAATTGTTTCAGTTACATAATCATGAATGTCATTATAAATATATCATTTTTTGAACTGATTTAGTCTCTTTCTTAACCAAACTTCCAAATATTTGGATACCATTTTATTACATATCAAGTTACTAATTGTTTTTTTTTTTTCAGAGAATTTAATTTATATGCAAATGTTCGACCTTGTCTTTCCTTAGAAGGTTATAAAACACTATATGACAATGTTGATGTTGTTACTATTAGAGAAAACACAGAGGGAGAGTACTCTGGTATAGAACATGAGATTGTAGAAGGTGTTGTACAGTCTATCAAATTAATTACAGAAGAGGCTTCTAGCAGAGTAGCAGAATTTGCCTTCCAGTATGCTCAGGATAACAATAGGAAAAAGGTTGATAATTTGGAGATTGCACAATATATCATGAAAAAATATTCGTAATAATTGTTCATTTGTTTTATAGGTGACTGCTGTACATAAAGCAAACATAATGAGAATGTCAGATGGTTTATTCTTGAGGTGTTGTAGGGATGCTGCACAAAAGTTTCCTTCTATTAAATTCGAAGAAAGGTATTTAGATACAGTGTGTTTAAATATGGTGCAAGATCCCAGTCAGTATGATGTACTTGTAATGCCCAACTTATATGGAGATATCTTATCTGACATGTGTGCTGGATTGGTAGGAGGACTTGGCCTTACACCAAGTGGAAATATTGGTTTGAATGGTGCACTGTTTGAATCTGTACGTGCCGAAAGCTTATGATCTTTGATGAAATGTAGTAATTCGGGGTTAATTAATAAAAAATTTTCATTTAAAATTAGGTACACGGAACTGCTCCAGATATTGCAGGTCAGGATAAAGCAAATCCCACAGCATTGCTACTGTCTGCTGTGATGATGCTTAAATATATGGGATTGAACCAGCACGCGAAAATTATCGAAAATGCTGCCTATGATACTATCAAGGAAGGCAAATACTTAACAGGAGATCTTGGAGGAACAGCAAAATGTAGTGAATACACTAATGAAATCTGCAAAAAGGTTTCAGCAATATCGAAGTAGATAGTATAATGTTTATTGAATATAAACTGCCAAATACTCGTAGAAATGATTCACATAAGGTAAAATGCTGTTTTTAAATATCTGTAATTATTATTTCTAAAATTATTCTTAGTGCACATCTTCCGAAGAAACTTGCACTTTGACGAAATAAGTTGCAAAAGTTTTCGATGTAGGAAGATGTTTTATTCATCTGTTCACACTGATTTAGAAAATTTTTGTCGAGTACTTGCACTAGCTTATTGTACAATATAACTAAATGTTACTCAACTTCGTGGATTTGTTAATGCGTAATAGCATTTAATATGATTTCATTGTGATGGAAAACACGCAGTTTCATCGCGTGTATTGACTGAATATACGTTTATGTATGTTTGTCATACTTCTTTACTATGAAAAACTAAAAGGATTCTAATAGAGTCTGTAAAAATTAGGCATGTAAATTAATCTAGGAACGCTGTATAATACTTATAAATGAAGTTGTTGAAGAAACGTGACCTCGAAGAAGAGTTTCAGGAATCAACATTGCGCAGTATTACATATTAATAAAATATGACAAATTCCACGTGTCGTTTGTTATTCAACCTTAAAGAAATGTGTACATATTATCACCAATAGATGCCCGTATGATCTATACGCAATGAAACTTTGATAACAAATTGTATGCCTGTTGGTTAATCACGCTTCATAAATATGTGCGAGATACCATAGTTTTTTATGCATTATTTTTTGTTTTACAAGATAATGATTCATCCATTATTACATACATCCACAGTATCTTATTTTTCTACTTAGGTTTATTAGAAATGGAAAAATCATGAGTTTATTCATAAATTAAAATACATGCCAAGATTGTACGATTAATTATTTAAATCAATCATTCGTGTATCATAAAAAGAAACATTTAAAGGTGATGGTTACGATCCTTCCCCGGTATCAACACCGTATAATTTCCCTTCTTGTGGTGTTATGTTATAGCGCTCGTCCCCAACCACTTCATAACTTTCCCTTGCCTCCACCCTTTACTCCACAATGGAGTATGCTTCTCAAGGAAAACTCTCAAGTATGAGAAAAGTTGTCAGCTATATTTCACTGACGAAGGGGAAGGAAGGGATGAGGAAGGATCCGGTGTCGTCTTCGCTGCTCGTTAATTCTTTCTGTGATTTATCGAGATTCCTCAAGTGAGTAATGACTGACTTCTTGCAAATTTTTTATATTAAATTTTACCTGTGATATATAGAACGATGGAATGTATTTTATAACCGGATACACCATTATGTTTCTTCTCCTTTTTCAGATGTTTGTAACAAATAAAAAAATTTATCTATACCTCAGTTCTATCTTGAAATGTTGTATCGTTTTTTATTTCAATATAGCTAACATAATTTTTTTCTCTTGTTTTTTATCAGGTTCAACGTAACTCTTTTTTGCGAATTAAAGTATCTGTACTTGTGAAATTGAAAAGTTCAATAAAACTGTTTCAGCGATGCCTCGTATCGTGAACGCTGTCCTCAAGTAAGAAGTCAGCTGAAATAAACTCACCGGTTCCAGTTTTCTGACAATCGTTTGTTGACGCAACTTGTTTAACGCGTAATTAACAAACGTGTCGATGATTACAGGTGACGGTGTGTCTGGTGGAAGATGCATCACGCCGGATTGCAACGGGCGGTTACACAAAGGTGGTAGACACTCGAGGGCGAAGCGTGGAAAGCAAGCGGACGGCATGCATATTCAGCGTACTCGGAGGCCGACGTAGTCATAGGAATAATAAAAATTCGAGGGTTGAAATTATTTAGATTTATGCCCGCTCTCTTGTTCTCGTGCCGTTGGTGACGAGAAGCGATTCGATTCCGGGGAACAAATTTCATGCATTATTCAGGACTTGCCGCAATGCACCCCGGTCAATGGAACCGATCCTTTGGAAAAAGTCGTTTTTAATCTCTCGTCGCGTTCCAATAATGCACATGCAACCAACTCGTTCTGCACTCACTTCCCCTTTTGCCGGTGGAAACCGTGTTTTCTGCCTTTAATGCGAACGCGAACAATAAATCGAGATCTGTCGGTGTGCCTCTAACCGAATGCAACGTCCCAGCTTAGACTTCTCCGATTTATTTTTCGCGTAGTTCATAATCGTTGCTTCGATTGAGAGAATGATGTACTCGATGTAAAAATACTCCTGGCTCGATATTTATATGGTAATGTTAGCAACTGTTGTCCAAGGATAAGCTGTTTAGAAACAGCTTCATCTGCTCTCATTTGCATCGATCATTTAACGAAAAGCTTTAGATTTCGAAGAGATAAATGCAAATAAATTTGGAGATAATCGTGCAATTGTACTTGACTAATCATTTTTTGAAAAGATAATTTATAATTTGCGATAAGTCTTGAATACATGTTTGAACACACGTTGCAATGCATTGACACGTTCTCTGCCAGCATTCAGTTGGAAATATTTTTTATATAATTTTATTATAATATTCTGTAATAATCTTCGTCCACGTTTAGACTCAGGTGAAATCGTCATTCGTTTCATTATCGACAGACTGTATCGTTAATTAACCATTCCAATGAAACAGCCTGTAATCGCCTTACAATGGATTAACGGATCTGTCGGCCAGTTGCCACGAAGAAAGTTTCGTTTTATTATTTTATTTGTCGTCGATCGAACGACTACTCTCGCGGAGCATAGCACTGAAAGCCGTGTACATTTGCGCGAAGGTGAACGCAATGAAGAGGAACCAAACATTTTTCCTGATCGTCCTAGCGATCATCGTGGTTGCTGTCAATGGACGAGTTTACTACTTGCCGACTCTGGATGAGAATCGATATTCAGGCTTAACTTATCCCATTCCAAACGAACAATCTTCGCGAGATTTGGATCTGAACTTTTCTGCCGGGGACGCGGACGAGTTTGATAACAAGATACGTCCTGTTAAAAGGGTAAGTCGATCTAATCTATCGAGTCACTTACAATTAGCGAGCTCCGATCGACAACGATCAATGTAATTTATGGTAATGTCTTTATCGTGAATTACTTGCAAGAAATAAAAATGAATTATACTCTTTATGCAATCCAAGACACGCGCAAACAGTTGCAATAAAAAAAGTGATAAGCAGCTTGATAATGTCTGACTTTTTATGATACTCAGTTTTTCTGCGGCTGCAACGAGCGTTTACGATTGTATTTACTTAGTAATATTTCCATACGAGTTTATCAAACACTTTATAAACAAATTTTTTTTATTCTTTTCTTCAGAATGACATCATCATTCAATTATTTCTTGTTAATAAATTTTTCCTCATTAGGAGCTAATAAACTGTTCATCCGCGTTGACCATTAATTAAACCCGTACGAAGAGTGGCGATCGGTTAATTGCAAAATTTCCTTTGAACAAATATCAATCCTCTATGTATATTTGTAATAATACTATAAACGTATTAATGTTCGAATTAGGTGTACACGGTCATGGGGCCGGAAAAGCCGTTCATCGAGGTGAACAAAGAGGAGTTACCAATCACGCGCTACAAATTAGTCGAAGCACCTGTTAAGGGATTGGACAATGTCATCGTTGTACCGGAGTCGAGCCGCAAATCGGTGAAAATCGATGGGAACAACAAGGGTGAAGTGATCTTGGAGCTCCGTGTTATCGCGAACCATGACACCGTTTGAATAATTTTGTCAAAGGAAAAAAGATCAATGGAACAAATATAGCGAAATAGTCTAATTTTAATGTTAATATTCATAAAATATTGCAGCTGAAATGTTCAATTCAAAGTTATTGATATCTCCTTTGAAACACCGCTACGTTTGTTCCACTCCTAATCTCACGCTCGGCAAACACAAAAGATAATAGTAAATCCATAACAAAACACGCAAATAGTTATCTTACCAAGGCTTAAATTGCCTCGTAAACTGGTATCAAATACCTATTTGTAGAACATTTATTATGTTGTACCAGATTAGATCGTGTAATCATTCCCAAACAGACCGTCGAACTTTTACATTCGAGCCTTTGCAAATGAGTCGACAGATCAATATCTCTCGTCAGATTTGCCTTCGTCCCTAAAACTCGCCTATCTCTTGTCATTCCACGCGTATATACATAACTACTATCCAGGAACTTGCTTCCCCTAATTGTGCTCTGTCAAAGAGAGCGGTGCCGATAGTATAGAGGGGAAAGAGAGGAAACAGTAGTCTCGATCAACGAAAGAGATCGAAGTATATTAGTGAAATAACGTGGAGAGAGCGATAGATAAAAGTGTGACCATGCACGGCTGAATATGACGATCATTTCGTGTGTGCACTTGTTGAAGGGTCCTCCTGATTATAACGAGCTGGTGCATTGAGAAGGTGAAAAAAGAACGCGGACTACGCTACCCTTCTGCTTTCTTTTCCACCCTTTCGGAGAGTTCGAGTGCAGAAAGCATTCGAACCCTTCGTTTGCTGACTGCAGATGCGTAACCTCGAGTCTGTGTACTCGAACCGACTCGTAATCGCGCGGTGAACAAGGAAAAGAAATTTTCTTCCATCGTTTGAGTAACACTCCAATCGAGCGTATCAAAGTTTCGAATTTTTAATCACACGGAAGAGGAATCGATTTATCGTAGAATCTGTATCCAAGGACTTGAACACTGCTCGAATCACATTGCTTTTTATTACGTTTATTATACACGTCGAATGTATTTTCTATTAGTACATATAGATACAATAGAACGCTACTATAATATGTACAGAGTATATCACATACAGTCGAATTCAGAACGGATGTCCGAAAAAGATCTCTAAGATCCTCCTGGTCTCCGCGCTAAAAAGTGACTCTCGAGTGCAAGATAGGACGAGTCTTCGAATTAAAAACCGAACAGTGCGATATCAAAATTGTCGTTAGTTTCATGCTATAAAAAAGCAGATAGAATTATTAATTAATAGCAGAATATCATTGAATCTGTTCGATTAAAGTCGCTTACGTTTATGCGAACAGATGTTTGACGCATCGAACGAAGTAGAAGACCGAAGAAAGAAATAAGAATAAAGTAGACGATTGTTTCCGAAGGATTCGAATAAGTTGAGAGCTTTCTATATTACCGTGAACGACGTAGTGAAACGAAGAATCAGGATGCGATCGTAAGTGTCGGAGCTACATCTATTTATACAGTCGAGAAGAAAAGAGAATCGTACGATTTCCACGAGTTATTCGGTTACTTGCGAAGTCTGCTCGTTCGATGGATCTCCCTTCGGCTCTTTCACGTAATCCACCACCAATTCCAACCCGATCAGCGCTCGAAGATCCTTCCTCTCCTCCTCCGTGTTCGTCGACGCGGAGGACGCGTCTTCCGGCTTTGGCGACCTCTCGTCTACGTTTTGCAACAAAATTTTAACCTGATCAATGCTCTGATCCATCAGATATCGTAAACTAACGAGATTTAACTAATCGTTCGTCATAGGAGAACACAAATTAATGAAAACTAAGAATGACAACACTGAGCATGCAAGGATAACCGAAAACATTAACACCCACTGTTATCAACATCCTTGGAACTGTCTTCACTCTCTCCGGAGATGGACGTCTCGCTCCTGGACGCTTTCCGTGCCTGGCCGATGTCCCTGTACGTCCTGGTCAGTTGCCTCAGGATGTAATTGGTACCACGAGGATTATCCTCGCTACTCCTCGACGTACTCGCTTCGTCTCTGGTCAAATTCAACGGCCTATTGCTGTTGTACTCCTTTGATTGAGGCACGCTGAATGCCGAACAGTGTTTCCCTTTGAAGGGTAGTTGCCTCTCGCTCAGCTTGCGATCCCAGATGTGTCCGGACACGCGAAGGTCGATGAAGAAGTGCAACGGATCGATGCCTGGATAGGATTGAGGTATCGGATAAGGCGGGTACCAGAGTGGACTGGGGAGAAACTCTGGATTCGTCACGTTGCCGGGCAAACCGAATCCCTTCACCGCCGGAAGCATGTCGCATCCCCTTCCGGGTAGGCCGGGTAGAAAGTTCCTCGAGAAATCGAGCTTCTTTTGATCCGTCAACAGAGGCAGTTCCTGATTGCCGACCGTGCTCTTGGTACGCTCGTCGTACGTACTTCTGTCGTTATAATTGCAATTTTTACGATCGCTCGAGTGCGATTCCTCGGGTTTCACCTTCTGCAATTCACCGGTGAACATGTTTTCCGGTGGTTGTGCTTGCTCGAAGTGACGGGGTCGCTCGTCGAAGAAATTCTTGCTCTGTTTACAGAAATCTGACTTGGTCTCGTCCGTGGTCTTCAAGATGTCCCCGCCGAAACTCGGTTTCTGCTCGAAGTTACCCACTTTACTCTCGGCGTCATAGCCGTCGCTCTGCTTACTTCTGCTCTCCAACCGCGCTTCCGGTTGTTGCTGTTGCTGCTGTTGAGAGTGGAAGTATTTCTCTTGCGGCGGCTGTTGAGGATGATGATGATGGTGATGATGATGGTGCTGTCTCTCTTTGGTGGTTAACTCCAGTGGACGATCCCGAGCGTCCCGCCAGGATCTCTTGCGACGTCGAGGCGCGTTTGTGACGTTGCTCGTCGAGGATGCCTCGGTTTTTGCTTGCACGAACGAACGAAGCATTTCGCTGAAGAAGAAGCTGTGCGGCGTTAGGGGAACGTTGTACAGGTATGGAGGAGTAGCCGCCAGTAGACGGGACACCAAATCGCCGCCGGAAAGCGAGGCTGGACTCTTCAGGGTCGACGGATCTCCCGTGGTCGTGGTCATGGTGCAGGTTTCTCAGGATGATCACTGAAGTAAAGAGTAAAATATTAAATTTGTTAAGAAATTTGTCTGGAAATTCAAGAAAATTCCTAATATTCTCATACGAAATTTCAGCTCAAACTGTGTTACACAATAGACGTCGTGCTGGCAGTGATAATCGTAGGTACAAAAGATGTAGGTATGTACAAATCGTCGGAGTGGAAGCGAGCTACTATTGTCTCCCGAAATTAATTGAATATCCGGCGTTGTTAAGTCTAAGACCAAGCAGACACCGTCTACGACGGGGAGAGAGAAGGCGGTAGCGAACGGGCTTGCATCGCATCATCCATTAAGGATTACTAATTTCTGTCAAGTGCACGTTCGGTTTCTCTCGAATGTCTTAGGACGGAATTTCCGAGGAATCCCTGAGAAATCGTTAATGAGAATCTACGATCGTAGGTATTTCAATTAAACTTGGTGCACGTCTTGTATGAACAATCGCTACGAGAACAATTAGTAATTAGTAAGGGAGCGTTCCCGAGATCCGCTGGTTCCCCGTGATTGATATAGTTATAATTTCTTCAATGAATTCGAATCCCACTGAAATGCAATTATGCTCTGCTCTTCAAAGTTACAGAACTGCAACGACGAGTACCGATGGGTTGTTCTTACGAAAAATCATGATGAATGTAAAAAATCATTTTTCATTAACGTCGATAGAGGAAGAGGAATCCGAAGAAAGATACAAGAACCGTTTTCCACCCTTTATGCAGGCAAAGGGTAAAATACAAGCGAGCAATTTCTCTGGGAAAAAAAGGGAGAACCGCGACACAGAGAGGTTCTATTGTCTTCATTCTAGTATTCTCGAGTCGCCAACATTCTGACAGAGATGTTTTCTTTACCGCGAAAGAATCAGGGAGCCTTGCATCGCGATGCAACTCGGATGCAACTGAAGGAGAGACGCGTTAATACGCGCGACGGAATCTCGAAAGAAGAGTTCTTTTTTTTCCTCTCTCTTCTCGCGAATTCGAAGTCTTCGGAGTTCTGGAAAGATTCTAGAACGATAGAAGAGTGTAACAGGCCGTGGAAATCAGAATGGTGGTCTGTATCCGTGTCCGCGTACCGAGGAGGGATTGGGTATTGTTTCGGTCCATTGTTTCCCAAACAAACGGCGTCCACGTTGTTTCGTCAGGAGATATTATGTTCAGCCAGACAGGCAGGACGAACAGGAAATGGACTGCTGTCAGTTTTACTCTTCGTGATAAATACGAGCCAGTCGTTGGTGGCTGGTCGCGACGCGGCCATAATTCGCGGCCTGCCATCTCCATAGTTCGAAACGTGAAAAATCCTTCGAATTTCTTCGAAACCACAGCTGCTTTTATAAATTCCCGCTTGTATTAATAAATATCGTTTGCTTGTTAAAGGGATACTTTACGCGCCGCCAGGAAATGACGATCCTTTAGAAAGGATGCTCGCAAGGTAACGAATTTTCTGACATTCTCCAGACAAAGGACGAGGAAGATTGTAGACGAGACATTTTCAATAGCTTACCGAGGAAGTTTCCAGCAAATTTAAATGAAGAAAAATAGCAGACGCGTGAAAATTGATAGAGAGTGATTCTCGCTGCAGGGAAGTTTCCTTTTAGCTTATTTTCAAATTGAAAAGCTACAACGAGGTAATAAATCCTTAGAACATTAAACCAAGCAAAAGAGTTAATTAACGATGAGTTGAATATCTAAGAAATAAAATTTTGATCCTTGTAACGAAAAGGGGATGAAAAAGATTCGCGGAGAGTTTACGGATACACGCTGGAACTCTTTCTGAAGAATCCCCAGGGATAAAACGATTTTTTCCCCTCGCGGTGCTTTCGTCAAAAGACAATAGAGACGTATTTCCATCGCTTACACCGTGGACTTGTTTTCCCAAACAAGAAATTTTAAAGCCCGCCGCTTCGTGAAAATCTCTGATGCGCCGTTTCGAGGAAGTTTAAATTATACCCAGCAGAGAAAGGAGATCTTAAATTTCCAGAACATTAATCGTGAAATCGTTGCTGACGTTTCGTACAATATTTCCTCTTATTCTGTCCATCGTACCGTTTTCCTTTTTTCCTTTTCAAAGTTATAAAAATTTACGCCGAGGAAGATGTAAAGAAGGCGCGGAGGAATTTACATCCCTCGCGGTACTTTATGGAAACGTTACAACGTCCTCTCGGTCCCCCGTATTTAAATCGCATTACCCCAAGCAAAATAATTCAACGGCCAGCTCCCGAGGATACGTCAATTATGCAAAAAGTGAGAAGTTCCATTGCGTCGGTTCTTTATTTTATTACAGACACGATAAAGAAGCAGCCGGCTAAAGTTGCCGAGTATTTACCTCAGATTCTCAGGGACGAAACAATTTATTCCCCGCTGAGTTAGTCCCCTAAAAGTCAATGGTAACATATTTTCACGGGGAACCACCGTAATGTTCCATCTAAGTGTATTTGATACATTTTTTTTTCTTAGCTTTCAATCTTACCCTCCGCGAAGGAGGGTGGTAACATTTTTATCACATTTCTCAATTACCTAATATCTTTATAATATCCAAAATAATTTTACCCTAACAAAAATCAGTCGAAGACAATGACGAAACGATTACGCGCACCCTATCTTAAATTCCAAATTTTACGAGTTATCGTATTATCATTTCGCTTTAAAGTCGTCGCGGATGATCGCATCGTTTCTCGACGGGGAAAACGTCGTCGTCGTCGTCGTCGTCGTTTGCTAAAACTACGCGACGTAGTTTCAGTTTCACGCGACGGGGAAGGACGGTTTACGATTCATAAGACAACTCGGTGGATTGAATTAAGCGAACGGTGCGGCAGCTGCCAGTCGGTTCCTGGTTTGTCGGTGCACCCACCGCGAATCTGCATAATCCCGTTCACGTCGACGATTCTAATTGGCGGATTGTTTCAATCTCTGTCGCCGCGAATATTTGCATTGCTGCTCCTCTCGTTTTCCCCCAACTCCGACTCTCTTTCCATCCCTAACGGACCACGATGGACGTTCGTCTTTCTCTGTTCTACCATTTTATTCCACGGTACCTCTTTAGCCCTTTCTTTCAAACGATTTTCCCTTCGTCTTCCTCTCTTGGACGACTTAATTTCTCATTTTCTTCCTTCCTTCGTTATTTCTTCTTTTTGTACGCTTTACCGTTTTCTTCAACCCTCTCGTTGCTTACGTCGTTCCTCGATTTCTTTAAATTCCTCGCGTTCCTTTTCCATTTATTTTCTTGTAATTAAATTTTGAACTCTAAATCGTACGTTAGATCGGCAAAGATTCGATTCAACCATCCGAGGATTAATCGCGCGAATTTTGCGGGAAAATAAGGGAGGCCGACGATTAACGACAGCAATAAAAGAATCGGGGGCACGATAGACCTTCACCGAGCGAGAAGTGAATTAATTTTTTATCTCGACAGATATTCAGCTCGTTCGTCTTTACGTGCCGCGGCATACGTCCTTATTTTCCCTTCAAGTAACCGACGATCCCTTTACAGTCCACATAAACATTTTTATTGCGGGGAGACTTTCGACGCGAAACGATCTCGTCTTACATAGAGGAAGAAAAAATGTCAATCGCAGCAGAACCCCCCTTTTTTTACGGTTCAACTCTGTGTGTAATTTGAATGTCCTCTTTGTGTCTGTAAAAAGAGCGTACGTCTAACGAAAAATGCGAAACACAAGAAATAAAGTGTGTACCTAATGAGTAATTAAACGATGTTAAGAATATTTGGTGGTGGTTAAAGGGTTAAGTGATTTTAACGCCTTCGAGAGCTCAGGGAAGCTGAGCAACGGCTTAAAACTATACAATATTCATTATTTTTCTTTTGTAATTTTAATGTCACAAATTTTAGTTTATTTGCAGTAGAAGAAAACATGTTTTGATTTTTGGCAATTTATGCTGATTTTTGTTCGTTATATAACGAGAAAAGCACACGGTTCAAAGCAGCGAACGGGATCAATCTAGGATTGCATTATGAATTACTATTGGATACGCGATACTCACTGCATACTCCCGTTGCATACTAATTTCCAATCTATCCTCTCTATCCAAATTCACTCTTTCTATTTATTTTGGCATCGAATTATGACGTCGCTTTGTAATTACCGCAAATACCGGTCGGTTTGTTCATTTGCACGTTCTCGTGTATAAATATACATACAGGTATCGTGTCAGTAGCAATTATTAATAAAAATTTCCTCACATTGTCTATTTACATTTCATACTGTACTAGCTTGTTGCTTCCTGCCACTTCGATTTTACCACGATACCAGCCCCATCGACAACCCTTACACGTTTGTCCACGTGGACTTCACGATTTAATTTTCCAAGTATCAAATTGATAAACAAACACCTGAATTTGCTAACACAGTTTCTCGATTTCACAGATTTCCATGCATCGTGCGTCAACTTTGCAACTTGTGGATCACATCCGATGCGATGCACTTACCCCCCACGTGCAACAAAGAAGAAAGATTGTACCAAAAAACAATGAGAGAAGCATCCATGTAAACAGAGCTGGGAGAAATTTTAAGTAAGCTCAAAAAAAAAAAAAAAAAATTTATTTCTTTCATTTTTTATTTTCTATTTCTTGGACACCAAGTTAGTTACATTTCGGTAGACGATAATTAGTAACATCAGTTTCACAATTTTCCTCAGCTCCGCGTGTAAATTATTTATGATATCAAAAGGAAAGCAGGTGAATACTTGCGACTATTAGACTCACCTGCACAAGCGACGACAGGTTGAAGGATCGTTGGTGGTGGTCGTGTGTCCTGTTCGGTGATCCAGATGCAGCGATCTACGGATCCTGCGGTGCGACACAAGCGTCGCGTGCTGCTCGTGCCAGCAAATGAGATAATAATCGGAGGACTCAGTCACTCGTCGTCGGGTACGGTGGCAAGCAGCGGTGGCAGGGTGGTTGTTCGGCGGCGGTGCTGAAAGTGGGGGTTGTATTCCATCCCCTGGCGACCGTCGACGACCGAGTGTACGAGGGAAGAAGAGAGATGGAACGGGAAGAAGTGATAGGACAAGGGTGGGAGTGCGAGCGAGAGAATCAGAGGGGGACGAACTGTAGTAGGAGGAGGGCTGGAGGTAGAGGGTGGTGGTTTTTGAGATGATCCGGCCAATCTGCGCATCATTTCCCCGATGCACCCCGCGTCGCGGCAAACCGGCGCGGATTCCGCACCACCGCAAGCACCGTAGAAGCCCTGTTGAATGCCACATTTTGAGGGAACGATGGAAAGAAAAGGGACGGGAAGATAGCGGGCGAGAGAAGGACAACCGAGCAAAGGAAGTAACAAAAAAAAAAAAAAAAAAGAAGAAGGAGAAGAAGAGGGCGGCACTAAAAAAAGAGGGAGAGAGAGGGACTTACAAGCGTAGCTTGCTACGGGGATGAAAGAAAAAAAAAAAAAGTGGAAAACAGATATAGGCAAAAGGGTATCTATCTCCTTTCTACAACTGTCTATCTTCTTCGTGTCTCTTTACCTCGTACGAACGTGTAAACGTATCGAGGATGTGTTTACACTGTCGGGGAAGAATCTGCGAACGTACTGGAATATCGATCTTTAATGCGCGCTGGAATTGAAACGTGCATACCTTCCGAGGGTTTATCTTCGAACAGGGCTTGTTGTTCCCGTTTGCGGTAAGTGGTGGTGGTTTAAGAACGAGGAGGCCGCGGTCGCGGACGCGTGAACGCGTAAGTAGTACAGGTCAATCATTGCGGAGCGGTACCTTTTTATTATAATCTTCGATTCAAATTATCACTGTTCATATCCACGCGATGGAACAGAAATTTTTTAAACAAGTTTTTAAATTGAATTTCATGAAAAATATAAAGGAGTAACAGTAACGAGAAGAGATATGCTCGTTTCGGTCGCCAACAATACAACGACGGGCGAACAAATTTCCTTCGACGATCCGAATTCCGGGAGCAGATAAATGACGATGGCTTCGTGCGATGGGTTCGATTCAGAATTTAAAGGATTTCAAGGGATCCCTCGCTGCCTCGAACGCAACGAACGCGTTTTGTTAAGCCGCGAACGGGGACATACGGTGTACGATATAGCTTTCAATGGGCGAGGGATCCATGTACGCTTGCATAGATACGCACTATGCGTGCCTAATTTTCGCATTAGTTCGACAAGCCCGTTCTTGGTGTAAAAATTTATACGTAGATAACGTCAAATTATTGCCTCTTTTTTATTTAAATTTTATGTGCTCAAATTTGGAAGTCGATATTATTAATATTAGGATATTAGAAATATTAAATATACCTTGATAGATGATCACAGGTACAAGGAGAGGGTAAATGATTTGGGAAAAATTAATTGAACGTACAAAGCATTTATTATTCATCGCGACTTTTCGCCTGATGCAGAGATTGTCTTGGTAACAGGTTCCACTATATGTAGAAGTTAGATGACCGTTCACATCACACCCTGAAACGGTGCTAATTGGCCTGTTGCGAAGGGGTAATGTGCGAAAGCACTCGTAGCACTCCTCATACCGCCCTAAGCCAGACATGCTTCCGGTTGTGCTTCGATATACCCAGAGAGAAAGTTTAAGTCCGTTTAATTCCTTCTGTTAGTTTTATTTATTCCCCTTTTCTGAATAGAACGGAGAGTTATTTTATTGTTACAAATTATTTCAAGTTACAAACAAAATATTTTTCTCTCGCTTATTATTCCGTTCGCGTGGAACTGTACAATGCAGAGTCATAAAAAAAAAAGAAGTATTCGGCCGAGTTTTATCTCCCATATAATAAGCGCACTCTCTGCGATCGACGAGAAATAAGGTCAACCTCTATGAACCTCAAGCCACACAATAGGTTGGGTCAAGGCGTAACGATTCTAAATAGATTCTCGGAATTCCTAAAAGGCGAGGGTCCTTTGAGGAAACATTTTACCTCGCGAATGGATACTTAAATCATTTCATTCTCGTCAGGATTTTACTTCCATAAATCGTGTAATAAAATGACGTCAAAGTGCGATAAGTGTTTCAGGAATGATACATCTTTAATCGAGTCGGATTCGAAAAGAATCGGTAAGGAGATTATGGTATAACGATTTGAAATCGATGATCAGCAATCGCGAAAGGTGAAGGCCAGCTCGGAGTCCATAAGGGTGCTTCGGCTTGCGGGCAAGTACCCGAAATTTAAATCGTCGCTTCCACGACACCAGTGAATCTCCTCTGGGCGATGGCGAGAGAATCCGAAGAGGCAGGGTGAAAAGAGGAAGGAGAGGGAGGTACGGGGGAAACAATTTACCCGAAATTCGCCTCGTCGCGTTTGGCGACTGGATACACTCTTATTTGTCCCCTCGGCAATCTGTCGACTCCGAACGCTCAACCCCTTCTCCCACGGTTCCTCTTGGTCTTCCACCGCCTTTCCAGCAACCCCTTCAACCTCGATCCCCACCAACCCCGTTCTTCTCTTTTCCCACCTCTTTTTCCCGAAGCGCGAAACCGCGAAGCCTCACGGGAATTTTAAACACCGTTGATTCGTCGGTGTTCTTCCGCGATCTCTCTTTCTCTCTCTCCCTTCTGTTTTCATTTTTTTTTCTTCTGCTTTCTTTTTTTCTCCTTTATATTCTTTCACTCGTTCCTCTGTCTCAGCTTTTATTTCTTTCGTTTTTTTTTTTTCAGGCATCGTCCCTTTCCGTCGACTGGGGATACCTTTCTACGGACGACAACGAACCGTCGTCACCGAGGATATTCGTGCACTTCGCATCACGACAATGCGGTAACATTCAAATTGTGCGCAGCTCTTGTTCTTCTTCTTCTGTACGACACGCGAAAATTGTGGTCGGTGTTGGGGGTGGATGTCTTTGGAGAAGGGGAACCGACACGACGTTAACGCGCCCCTCTGTCAGAGGCTAAGGGTGCTTCACCGAGGTACTTACGCACTGGTAATCTTATAACGAACGTGGCCTGCGAATTAATCCGTTTGTTAGGAACGGACATGGGGGTCTGAATCACGACTGACACATTGACGTTAATCGATATCGGTGTCATGAATGTTTAATTCCTGACCCTTGAGTATATTTCCGTTTCTTTTATCGAGAAGTAAATAATTCCATCAATTACGTTTCGAGACCACGTTAAAAGGTATTCGTACATCGACGGAACGTGTCTCGAATTCGAAACAATTTCCCAACGCGACGAGGAAGAAAAAAACGTATGATGAAAGAAGCGCGGCGGAAGTGGGGGTTGGTAGCCGTTTAAATTCGAAACACGGCCGACGGTTCCATCAAATCGAAATTCATCTAACTGAGAAGGGCATAAATACGGGCGCGTTGTTGCGCATCTGCTTTCGCGTAAGAACGAAAACGGTTAGGAAAAGGGCGAAAGATGAGGAATCACTGGAATCGGCGGGAGCTCACGGCGGGGCGTGTAATATTCCCGGGAAGTAAAGCTCCGGAGAATTTCAAGACCCCTCCCCCACTGTCAGCCCCCTGTGTGTCCGTCTCCCTGTTACCACCCTCTTGTCCTCCCCCGTTCGCCACCCCATCATCGTGCGAACGTATCCTCCTGCTCGCAGCAGGCAGCAGTAGCAGCAGCAGCAACCACCCCACCGACTACGAAGGGATGCAAATAACTGGTGATAACAACAGATAGCTCTGCCGGTACGGCTGACTCTATATCTGTGTCGGTGTACCACTACGGCGATGGTGGTTTAGGTTTCGGGGGCGAAAGGGAGAATCGAGGAAAAGCAAGGGGTAGGGGGCAAGGGTCGGAGAGAGGCGCAACGCGGTGAAAGAGAGACCAAGGGAAATACGAAGAGAGATACGATGGAAGATGAAGAGAGTACACAACGAGAGGGTGGTCTGGTTGGGTGGGAGTGAAGAGGCCGGCAGAAATCGTAGAGCAGCGAGAGTCAGAGAAGAGATGTGCTCGAACCGTGGGAGGTGGAGTAAAAAGGAGAAGGGGTGACAACAGAAACCGGCTGGAAGGTAGAACGTAGGGAAGGGTAGTTTTCCTATCTCTCTCTCTCTCTTTTTCTATACCGGATTCTGGAGAAAGATAAAAAGTATTAGTGAAAAAGAGAAAGACGGTGATGAGTGAAAAGGGCTGAAACGAGTAAGCTTATACAGAGGAGAAAGGTGATAGATAAAGAGGGATGATAGACGAAGATATATAGGAAGAATGAGAGAAACGGGGTAAGAGTGCAAGAGTGAAAGAGAAAAGCATCGGTACACTGGTCCGAGGAAAGCAGCGATACGATGGGCTGGGTAAGGGTGGTCGGAGAGGGGCGGGGGGGATGAGAAGGAAGGAAGGAAGGAGAGGAGGAAGCGGAGGGACGTCACTCGCTGTCGCATCGAGCGCGAGCGATGAGTGGCGCGCGCTCGCTCGTCTTTTGTTTGCGATACGATGCGACTGCCAGCCTGGTGACAGCGGCGACGGGCGGGGTGGTTCGAAGAGGAAAGGGACCAGGGTGAGAGGGTGGCTCGGTGACGATGGAGGCTGCGGGCAGGGTGAGGGTGAGCCGAGTGCTGCGCCGCGAGGATGAGTGAGGGTGAGGGTGGGAGAAGCGAGCTCTGGGTACCGGGTGAGAATCACAGAGCTACGCTACACTTAACGCGACCCATGCGTACATATGTTACGTGGATGAACGTACGTATATGAGGAGCGTCGATACGTGCACGTAAATTTCTACTGCCGACTGGCTCGTTGTATTCGGGCCTTGTTGTCAGCAGGTTGCCGGATGCACATCCACCTACGGATCTCTCTGCTCTCTCCTCCGCTCCGCTCTGCTTTGCTCTGCTTTGCTTTGCCCGCGAGAAACACGCGATCCCACTGTACGTATACAGGATGTCCCATGCAACTGGGACAAGTTAAAACTAAACGAAAGTATATTTCAAACATTTTACCTTATTTTTAAACTTATATTTTAATACACTTTTGCCCAGAATATTCTAAAGAATCGACTCGACTCCCCTAAAAAAAAAATTCAGTAGATGACCTTAAAATCACTGAAACGCCTTCATTTTCAGAATCATTCAACACAATTTAATTTTGTCCCAGGAAACTTTTTTCTTTCTCCCATCGTTTAAGAGTTATATCTTGGCCCAGATGCATGGGACACCCTGTATAGGTGTGTGCCAAAGTATACCGGGGCTGGTTACACACGCGTCCGACGTACGCGACGTTTTCGGGAATAATCGTCTCTACAGTCGTACGGGTACTATTGGATCAGACTTGGGTGAATGTTGTGGGGTCGTAAGAACGACACGGGAAAAAGACCGAGATAGAAAGATAAAGAATGAGACGGTTCGGTTGAAAGGGAGCGTTGAGCAATTTCAGACTTT